AAGACAGCGTTGATCTTCTGATGAGATTTCTGCTGGTTTTGAAATATCTTCAAGCTCCCAAAACTTGTAGATATCTTCATAATTATGTAGCACCACATTACATTGGAAAGTTTTCACGTTGCCACTCAATATCCATCCCAACTGCGTTTGTTGAGCCGTCGGGAGGGACGAGTTTACTCTGCAAATGCCATCCAACAATATAGCAGAGTATACATCAGCACCTAATAGAATGTCCACTGGACGACTGACGTAAAATTCGGGGTCTGCTAACTTGATATGGTCTAAGTACGTCCAATCCGGTTTTGAAAATGTATAACTAGGCAAGTTTTTGATAAGGCTCTTCATGATAAGTGCCTCCGTCTTAAACTTGAAGTCTGTAATAAGTGATGAACATTGTATGGTAATTAACCCTTTACAATTACTTTCTTTATCGCCCACACCAGATATTACACCCTTACAGCTTCTTCTTGGTAATCTTAATAACTGAGCAGCCCGTTCCGTTATTAAAGATGTTTGAGAACCCTGGTCCAAAAGGCAACGCATTTTATGTAGATTTCCATCTGCTGATTCCACCTTGATAATCGCAGTTGGTAACAATACCTCGATCGGTTCATTCGGAAACTACACGTGCGAACTACTTTTGACGTTTTTCCCGGAGTAAGCATTTGAACTACTGGCGCCGCTCGGGCCGACACCTTCGGCCGCTGTTTCCGGTGTCGCAATACTTGTTTGTTTTATTGTTTCATGTAAAAGGCTATTATGATCCTTATTGCATTCACGACAACGTCTATTTGAAATACACGCCTTTCCATAGTGGTTATATAGACAATTAGGACAAAGATTTAATTTTGCGACCATTTTTCTTCTACTGCTTGGCGACATATTTAAAAATTTTTGACAGAAATAAATCCCGTGGTCATCGCTGTTGCACAGAGAGCATTTGTTTTTAGTCATGATATTTTTGCCGTTTGATTGTTTCGGCGTCATCCGTATGCTTGAAGAAAATGAATTTTTTGTAGTAATTCGGTTTTTGATTACTGTTGTTAACAATTTTTAAGTTTCCTTGATATTTTTGTGTAGGGTTATCTTGCTTCCTACGAGCTGATTCTAACGTAGTGAATTTGGTTTCCAAAAAATCCAGAAACTCGTTCAGCATGGGTAACTCTCTTGGGTGCTTAACGGATTCGATATAATCTGTGTACGATTCGGTGTCTAATTTTTGAGACAAAATGTACACAATCAGAGGGTCCCAAGAGCTTACATCGACCCCTAGGTTCTTGATAGCATTCAGACACTCAATTGTAGTATCATGAATGCGCTTGATATGATTCAGGGACTGATGTTGCATAACAGGAATATTTAAAAGTAAACTGATATGGGATGAAAATATAAGCCTCTTGTTATTAAATCTTTGATTTAAAATGTCCCAACACACATCATAGTTATCAGAGCTAATGCTGAGATGCTGGATTAATCTCTCGGCCTCTCCTTTCACCTTGGTCTTGAGATACTGCATCTTCTGCGCATTGGACATGGATGGATTGTTATGTATTGTTTCAGTGAAAAGGTCCTTAAAAGAAGTCCAGGTGTTATAACTTCCACTGAAAGTCGGAATCTCCATCTGGGGCGTAGACTTTTCCCCTGTGAGCCACTGACCACATTTTTCTGTTAATGGCTTTCTTGATTCTATTGTATTCCGATTCGTATCTGATAAAAGTATCTTCATATTCCTTGTTCGACCCTTCCAGTTCGCTATCTAAGTCCCAGTGTAGTGTGTCAATGGCTGCCCACCGGGTTTGAACCGTCCGTAATAAATCATCAAATTCCCACTTTTGTGACACGGAATCAAGGTCAATGTTTACTACAGTACGCTGGAAAGCTTTAAAATTACTAAACTGTTTTTTCAGCATATCGTCGGTCCTGCTCGACGTGCCTGTGGCTTGCCCTGATTGTCGAGAGGATTCTCCTTCTCTCATGACAAAAGTTGGTGGCTTCAGAAGAGGCGTTCTGGGCCTTTCCTCTGTAAGCGGCTGATATTTCTGTATATGAAGCCTAATAGACCCGTATCTTTCGGCTACTCGTTGAAATTCTTGATTCGTAAAGTAGCTATTAGACTCAATACCGAACTCTGATAATCTTGCATGATTATTTTTGAACTCTAGCCAATACTTATCCAATATGTCTAATCTACGTTGTATATAGTCTGCTGTCTTTCTTTCTGAGCTATCTTTTTTGAAATTGGTAAAGACATGCTCTATCGCCTGAGAGATTTGCTGCTGATTAGCAAGGAAGTCGTCCATTTTCGACATGATAAAGAAGAGAAAAAAGGGCTGATCTTACTTGATATCTGCTGAACGGCGAATGTGAGTTGACTCGCTCACCGACTGATGATGACCAGAGACTTCGATCTTCAGACAAGGCGTGCACCTTGATCGCACACCGTCTGATACTTGCTACGCCACAGGTTTCTTGATAGGAGAGTAACAGTCACGCCACTACGCGCCACGTGTTTGAAAGAATCCAATAGGTTGCTGAGCGGAAACGCTGACACGCACACGGCGCAATGTAAGGGAAAACGTGGCGAGGTCCCGCTTTTTCGGAAAGCTCGAAGGACCAATGTTCGGGGTAGTACCGACACTAAGGGGATGATAAACTGATAACGCTTGATAAGTTTGATAAAATATATTATGGACAAGTATACAAATTAAAAGGCTAGAACTACTGATAATGAGTACGCGTAGCGCTCTTGATGGCTATCGGCGAACTGATTTTAAAATACCTGTGCCGCGGAAATATGTAAAAGAAGTCAAGTTGTGAAATGATGACTTAACAATTGTACGTTGCATTACATGCTCGTACACCGCGATTAATAACCATAAATAAAGATATCATTTTTTAACAAATTCACATTGTTGGGCGTTCCATGGCCGAAAATGGGCGTCCCCCTTTAACTGCCGGAAGGGCATACCGAAGGATTTACATCTATGTGGGAGCAAAAGGTTCAGTCAATTTTCAAAAATTTTTACAAGTGCAAAAATTAAAAGTCAATTTTCCAGATGGTCGCTAGATGCCTGGGTGTAATAAAATACACCAGCGCCCTCTAGCGGAATACACACGGATTAAGGCACAAATAAAATAGAAATACAAAAAATTTAGAAATCCTAAACCACTAAGAGTGTCACTGTCACAAGCCTAAATAAAGATGTCGCTAGACACTTTGCACCTTTTGTGGCGCCATCTAGCGACATCAGCCTAACCTAAAAAGTAACCAACCAAACTATGACTAAAAATCTTAACTAGAGTGTCACTGCCACAAATAGTACAAAAAAGTTCCACTTAGCTAACACAGATGGCGCTGAGGCACAGGCGGTCGCCAGCGCCGCTCAGCGGTACGTAGCGGAAGATCCCTCTCGCAGCACGAGCAACGCAGGCCGTGCCGGTTGGGCGCACGGCGCCTGCAGAGGGCGTCACAGTGCTGGAAATATACACTATCGCCCTCTGGTGGCGGAAAGCTGCCGAAGCTTCGAGGAGGACCTCGAAACGACCTGTCAGATTCAAAGTTTGAATCAGACAGCCACGTGCTAGCACTACCTACAGAGTTACACAAATCACAAGAAAACACACAAAATAATTCCGATAAAGCGTTAGTTCGCAACAAATTGTACTATAACATCCACTATACACTAAAAACGTAAGTATCTATAACAAAATCCAAAAGAAAAGCACAAGAAAAACAATAAAAAGCAATTGGAAAACAAAAACACACAGCGCGAGTTCACTACACGTCCGATCGAAGCGACGACCGGAACTGAAGTAGAAAATAGATAGGGACAACCCTCCATCTCCCATGGCCTCACCAACCTTGCGGTAATACTGGCCGAATCACGAAAGGTGCACGCGGTACTTGCTCAGGGCTCTTTCCCGCGCGCACTTTCTTGACTCTCTACAAGTTATTTACTCTACTCCTTGTCCCATTTTTCCACTCTCCCTTTCTGGGCTGGACGAACATACCACGCCTTTGGTTCCGATCTGTTCCTCTCCTGAATGGTTCTTCACCAGGGCAGTCCTCCTTACGTGCCATCCGTGCGCAAACTCGCGCAGCCGGCCAAAGTTCTCCCGCCCGTCAACAAGTTCCGGGTAGTAGACCGGGCCCACACTTCTGCGTACTATTCCATCCATCATCTTAAACCGCAGGTCGTCATAGAGCATGCACTCCCACAGAACGTGGTGCCTATCCTCGTAAGCTGCTCCATACTCACACATCGACACCTCCATGCAATAAAATCGTAACTAATTTTTTATGTTTGTAGAGTAGACAGAATTTAAAGTTTGAAAAAATGTACCACTTTCAAAACGACCCCTACAATATTTGAAGCTGTCACTATCTAATATTATTTAGGTGCACTATTTTTATTTACGGTTAGGTTGTAAGAGAAAAGTTGATTTCATGGTTTTTCATGACTTACGTGAAAAACAATTCATTGAAATAGCATATAAGTTACGAGAACAAGCATTGTATGTCTGAGATACAATTTAGTTTTTTGTAAGCTAATTTTATTTTTGTTGTCAGATAATTGTAACTCCGAGGTGTTATGTTACCTAAAATGTTTCTTCATAGTAAAATTTAAGTATTTTTCATGCAAACAACTATAAATCTGTAAAGAATCATCTCATAATGTGACGTGTAATAAATTTATTTTCTTACGAATTATTATGATAATGTTTTATTGACTTAAAGGATAAAAAAGCAGTTTCGTACTATTAAAATATTTATTGACATCAAATTAGAAAACTCCACTGGATACAAACATTATTATCCGACTTATAATTATGACACTAAATATTTTTTTTTAATTATAAAAAATCTAATTCTCTCCCGAAAACTAAACTTTGACTTTATAAAACTATTATCTTTATTCTTAATTATATATTTATTCTTTAAACATAAAAACCTTCTTTCTGAAAAACAAACAAAAAAATAGGAAATCAACTAAAAACTATTAATTTTCATCATCACTACCGTTGTCTTCAGCTAGTTGAGTGGAATGTGGAAGATTAAAATAGAAATTGTGATAAATATCTGGTATCGCTTTACATTTACACAAACTTACAAGGTCCTTATACTTTGCTGTTGATATTGGGAGCACTTTATTATACAATAAAGGAATCCTTTCTCCGTCGTTTGACTGTTCACACTGAATTGACTCTTGTGCTCTTTTTGTTCGTGTAATGCGTGTAGTAGGTTTCACAGCAAGGTTGATAGATAAGTACTGATCACTGAGATAATCATATTGAAAGTATATTAAGTCAGGGTTTTCGTTTTCTATTTTAATATGTTTTATTTTAGTCCAAGACATCTTTTCTCCAGTACTATTCCAGTCCCAGTTTAGTTTTTTCTTTAGAAGGCTTTTATAATCAAGAATTAGGTTTTGATCTAATTCAGTAACATCATAAGGGGTTCCCGTAGTTTTAGCACATCTGATCAGAGTGATCCATTGCTCTGGTACAAAAATAATCTGATTTTTCTTCCGACGCTCTATTAACGCGTGCATAGCATCTCCTTCAGATTGTGAATGTCCTACTTCAAAATAGTTATGTGTAATCGTTATGCGAAATATTTTACATGCATGGGAATACATAGCTATTATTATTCGATTGCGGTTTTGTCCGCCACAGCAATCAGAAAAAACATTAAATATACGAAACCCTTCTTCATATTTCTGTTTAATAAAAAGAAACACAGCGCTACTAATTTCTGAGGATCCTTTCTTGCCTATTGTCTCATTCCAGACATATGAATATCCTTTGGCCTTTCCTATATCATATATAGTAAAATTGTATACGGCAAATTTCCTTTTGTAGTAAAAGAGCGAAACTTCTGATTGAGGTGTATTCAATACTTTCTGTAAGTCATAAGCGGCTGTAACTATAACGTTAGATTGTTTCGACTGATACTTACAAGTCTCTTTCACCTCTCTTACCACTGTTTTATTCGCAATATGCAAGGTGTACTCTAGCTTCATGTCATCTTTTTCTTTTTCAGATCCTCTCTTATATCTATCACAAAGAATACAAAGGTCTTTCTTAGGCTTATGGAATTCAATATTATATTCGTTATAAAAATGTCCTTATATTGCCTAGAATTTGCCACTTGTTTCAACGGACGATTTTCTTTCATCCAATCAACGTAAAGCCTGTACAATGCAGGGTATGTTAAAGTTTCTTCAAAGTACAGTTTGGAAGTTCTTTTTCTTACATAATGTGAATCCACTATAGGAATTAACGAAATATGATCTCTAACAGATTCTTTAACTTCATTCGGTATCAAACTTTTCCGATTATTATGTCGCCCCCTCAAGTCTCCTGCTATAAGCCCAGTGCCTTCTTTGTCCATTTTTTTGTATATAGTTTGTAGCCACATATCACTAATACACAGAGAATCAAGAAACATTTTTTTTTGCAGACCCTTTTTCTATCGCCATCTTCATATAAATAATATTGAAAGGACCAGTGGCGCCGTGAGTGTCCAGTAACTGATGCTGTTATTTGTTTTCGTGGAACTCTATCTACAAATCTACAAACAAAATCAGCTTGTCTTGTGTGGTCGCCCAAACCCCAAAAATCTTTGAAAATTGCATGTCTTGTCGTTTCCATTAATCTTGCTTTGCAGTTCCTAGTACAGGCATTATTACAACCACTCCTCATAACTTTCTTTGGGACTAAGATTCCGCTTCTGTTTACATATTCTTCGCCCGAATTTTTCTTTCGCTTACTTAAGTTGCGTTTCCAGTTTTCTCGATTATGACCTCGATTTCTACCCGGATTAGTTTTTTTCGGAACATTCCTTTTCACTTTTCTTGCTGTCCCTTCGGGAGTAGAAATATTTTCAGATATGTTTGTAGCTGTTGGTATCTCTTGTAAAGGAATATTATGTTCTGAAGAATGTTGAGAACTATTTTTTGAAACATCCTGGTCGGAAGGGATATATTCCGAAAAGTCAGGAGAAAATGGTTCTTTTCTACTAGATGAGGTGAAGGAATCTGGGTAATAATTTACAAGCGCATTTTCCCGCATACTATTTTTGAATGAAAGTAAGTCTTCACCGCGTTCGATAAAATAGCTATTATCTTGTGGTGGAATAACTTTCTGCGTAGCATGATCATTTGCCTTGGACGAAGTCGAAGCTACCTCTTGATCTAAAATGTAAAGTACCAATTTTAACAAAGTTAATCTTAGCAAGCATTTACATCTGACGAGGAGCGTCGCAGCGCAATGTACATGCACAAGTGATCACGTATAAACGTGTTTTCGCGCCAGACCTGCATAAACCTGAACCGAGTAACTCAACAAAGTACTCGACTCTGTAATAAATAACAAATCCGAGTAAAACTCTGTATTCGGTTAGTCGGTACAACTTTAACTCGGTACATTTTTAATTTAAACTGACTGAACGGCTCCGATGCGCTTACCAATACGTAGTTATTGCTAACGCTGATAATTTACACTAAAATACAACTTACCAGTTGGAATTCCACTTAATGATAATGCCAAATTTAAAATATTTTCGCTACGCTTCATCTTATTACTATTATCTTATTACTTAAAAGCCGAAATAGTCACCATGTACACTTCTCACTTCTGTATAGTAAACCACACAACAAAACTAAACTTCTAAAACGCGAGTAAACTGCTAGACGACAACATCGCAATTCGACATAACAACAACAACATTGTAAGTCAACATACAAAGCAGTTGCATTACGTTTCATAGCCATAAACCCCAATTTTGTCATGTACAAAAATTGTATATAATGTTACAATGTTGTTGTATTTGATTGACTTGCTACTCATAATATTTTCTATAAATTGTAAATCAAGTTGTAACGATATTGTTGACAAAAAATACTTTTTTGTTATGTTACAATAATTTGACGTTTGTTTATTTTAAAATCGAATGGGAGCAGAATTACAATGATTGTACAGAAAAATTGTATTTTTTTTACATAGTAATATCATTGTAACGCAATTTATGGAAAAAAATGAGTTACGATGTTATTGCATGGAGGTGTCGACATACTCGATTCAGCCAGTTTCATATCATACAGTCTCTTCCTAAAGCATCCATGCTCACTGAGAATCTGTGAGACTTGGTAGACCGGTACGACCCAATTTGCATTGAGTCGCGCCGCCACGTCCGGGAAAAAGCAGAATAATTCCCTGCCATTCGTCTCGTTCTTCCATCGTTGCTGCCATGCATTCACAACTTCAGCCCAAATTTCGCGCTTACGCCTGCTCAACTCCCCATTCTCAGCGTTTATACGCATCCGGTCAATCCTACCAAAACGAGTTACCTCCAGATCGGCCGGAAGGATGCCGGCCAATACCGGAAGCGCCGCAGTACTTATCGTCCTATAGCCCTTCGTCAACAATACGAGCGAGGATCTCTGCGATCTCACTGTGTAATTCCCAACACGATTAACCCAAACAGCTGCTGCATAAGTCACTATCGGAACATACGTTCCCTTATATAGAACACGGAGGGCCGGGTAGCGCATGCCCCAAGAAGACGCCGAAATTCGCGACATTTTCTCAAAAACATCTCCCAGCCCTCTCTCCCATATCCTTGGCGTGCTGGATGAAAAATATACTTGAGTATAATGCGTGACACCTAATACCTTAGTCGACACTACGCTTCTTATAGACTCCGTCCCCATCTTTATGATAGGTGGTCGCTGGAACTTCCCTTTGATGGTCATAGTGCATGACTTCGCGGAGGGGAAGGATAACCGATTCCGCTCTCCCCACGAAGATACCAGCTCCAGTGCAGATTTGGCCGTTCTTTCTATTTCAGCTCTAGAATTTGCCTCAATCAGAAGTGTCACGTCGTCTGCATACGCCAACATTTTCGTCCCTAAGGGGAATGGCAGCCTCAACAAATCGTCCAGCAGTAGATTCCACAGGGTCGGTCCAAGAACTGATCCCTGTGGGCAGCCCGTGGTCGAGCGTTTCCATTCGACACACTCACCTACGAATATACCCACCCGTCGGTTGATGAAATAGTCCACCAGCATGCGGTAAATGTTAGGCGGAATCCCCCCTGTTTGGCTTTCAATAGTATCATTGGCCACCATGCATTATCAAATGCACCCGATATGTCCAGGAAGACGGCCTGCACAACTTGCGCTGCGACTCGAGAGCAGTGCTAATCACATCTTGCAGCGCCGTTACCGTTGACCGACCCGGCGAGAACTCGTGCTGGTAGTTTGATATGCCTCTCACCAAACTCGGGGCACACCGCAACAAAACTCGCTCCAGCAATTTCCCAAAGATGGGGAGGAGCGTTATCGGGCGGTACGCCTTGGGATCCGTTAGTGGCCTGTCATTCCCTTTCGGAATCACTATTAGGCATCCTTTCTTCCATACTTCGGGGAAAACCCCCTCTTCCACGCATTTGGCATACACCCAGTGGAATTCCCTAGGTGCAGCTCTCCACACGTTCTTGACAATTCTTGCACTTATTCCATCCAGTCCCGAAGCAGTGTTGGGCAGAGCCCTAACTATAAACTCCAGACCCCTAATGGTGGGGGGAACGGCAGTCGGCCCCGATGGAGTGAGAGCTGCCATGAGGTGCACCGGCCCGTGGTATCCTGTATCCTTAGACCTGTCGTCGTCCGGTTATAGTGCCACGAGTAAGCCCCGCATGGCTTCTCTCACTCCCCCCGTGTATCCCCCCGCAAACTGTATACCGTTTATCACGTTGTAAGGGGGACGAAACCTCCCGCTAGCTACTTGGTAAGCTCGCCCCCAAGGATCAATATTGCCTGTTTCGGCAATTTTCCGAAACTGGGCCAGTTCCGTTTCCCCCATCATCTGTCGGTATCTCGCTCGCATACTATGGAAACGTTCCATAGCCAATTCCTCGAACCTACCACCTTTCTTTCTGGTCTTCTGCTACACTCTCCTCGCACTACACACCTTTTTCCTCATCCTATCGAGTTCAGGCGTCCACCATTCATAGCCGCCTTCCCGCCTCGGGCGTGCATTCCCCAGTACGTCCTCATCAGATCGGACGACGATATCCGTGAACTGCGCGCAGAGTCGGTCAGCTGGCTGTTGAACATTCAAATTACCCATTCTCAAATGAATAGTACCGCGAAAATACCGCCAGTCCACCCCCCGGTCACGAAAACGTGCAAGTTCCTCAACCGGCCCCACAAGCTCCGCATGACGGTCTTTTTCGATCTTAAAAACAATGAGGCGATGGTCGCTCATGCTGGCGCAATCCGGAACTCGCCACCCTGATACTGCAACGCCTCTGGTCGCGAGGGTAAGATCGATGTTAGATTCACCCCTGGCCCCAGCGAACGTGGGTGGTTGTCCCTCCACGTTGGCCAGGGTGAGCCTCGCGACATGATGAAATCCTCCATCATCCTCCTGCGATGCTCCGCTTCATGTCCTCTTCCCGTAGTATGGGCCCTCTCGCTGTACCAAAGTGGCGAGTGCGCATTGCTGTCAACTCCAATGACAACGCGCTTGCCTTTCAACTGGTCAAGTGCAGTCTCTAGATGTTGCAGATGGTGGTCTATGTCATCGCTATATTTAAAATATGCGGAGACGACGTAGAGACCTTACTTCTCCACACGCAATAGGGGTTACTAATGTGTGGCAATCCGGCAACACCTATGTCTAGGTTGCAGACCATAACACCGGCCTGCGGTCCTTCGCCGAACTGGACGACTCCCTGTGCTTGCGGCCACTGTTCCTGGACCAGGACAATGTCCAGGCCCCGGTCCAGCACAAGTGTTGGGAGCTCCTTAGTGGCTATCTCGCTACGTCCCAAATTGAGCTTTCCAACGCTGATTTTGTTTTTAACCGCCATATTGCGTGGTGTTGACCGCTCTCTCCTCAGCGTACACCCCAGCCGGGCACTCCTTCGCCATCGTGGCATGGGTTTTTGCGCCCGGCTTGCCAAATCTGCGACAAGTGGCACAGCAGATCTCAGATGACTTGCAGGCACTTCTGCTGTGACCCTCTTCACCACATCTGCCACATGTCTCCTTCACCCTACAGTACTTGGCGGGATGCCCGTATTGCTGGCACCGCTGGCAGCAGGCGACGTCTATAAAATCGCATGGCTCAACCACGTCCCACCCTATGTACAGCCTATATCTGGCTGTCAGTGCATCTCTTAGCGCGTACGTGCATTGTAGCACCACCGTGGTCCTTCTGCTGCCCTTCCACGACATCTTAAAGGCGACCTTGCACTGCTTCTTCAGCTCCTCCAGGGTCCACTTCTCGTCTTCGCCGAATTTTTGATCGTGAAGGGCCGGCAGGATTTCTTCCGTCTTAACATCATCTTCGAAGCCACGCAACGCAACAAGTGGCTGGCGTTGTCGCGGCTCTGCTACCCTTAGTGTCGGTAGAGCAGCAGTGCGCAGCTTTTGTGCCGACTCCTGGAACGTGGTCTGGACCACTACCCCAGCATTGCCAACCTTTCTCAACTTGGAGACTTATATGTTGATCTCCGAAGGCCTTACTGCTTTTTTCAATTCGAACTTGGTGTCTTCTGCCGTCTTAATGTTCCTGTTCTGCCGCTGGATAAAATGCGAGGACCGGACCAGACTTTATCGGCACTGGCTTTGAAGCAACTCCTTTCGGCATTCTTAGAACTGCTGCAAATGATTGGCCAGAAGCTGGGGCGTGGTCCCCATCACCTGCAGGTGCACGCGCGGCCTCCTGGTGCGCCAGCTTGGATTCAGCCTGCGATTTGTCACGCTCGGCTCTACATAGCGCAAGCTGGGCCTCCATGACATGAACCTCCATTGCTGCGACCATCGCTATCAGATACTGCCCGGTTGCCGAAACTATGTTTACTTCGGACTTGTTCAATTTGGAGTCCGGGCCAGTCACGATGCCCATAATTGTCCTAACAGCAGCCCGTGTATGTTCAATTATCTCCAAGGGTGTGGCCTTGGAGGCGTCAAAGACCTCTTAAAGAGACTCTAGGTCTTCCTCTAGAATTTGCCTCGTTGGTTCCGAGGTGGGAATCCCAGCAGCTGGGGCCACAGTCGCACCTTTCTTCTTTTCCTTCTCTAACTTCTGCCGCTGAGTCACAGGCTGCGGCTGGTCCGGAGACGCGAGCGGTCGCGGTCCGGAGCCGCACTCGAGCCTCCCTTTGGGTTCTGCGAGCTGGGGCCTCCAACAGGCCTCGCCGGAGCACCCTGTGGGGGCGTGCGCGCCAGCGACTTCCGCGGCACAAATAGGGGGGTTCGTCCCCCATTATATCAATAAGAGTCCCTACTCAGTCCAGAATATGACACAAAAATAAAAGTTAAATAAAAATAATAAAAATTAAAATTTCCGAAGATGTAAACTTTAGAAATTTAACTGCCGGAGGGGCATACCCAAGGATTTACATCCATATGGGAGCAAAAGGTTCAGTCAATTTTCAAAAATTTTTACAAGTCCAAAAATTAAAAGTCAATTTTCCAGATGGTCGCTAGATGTCTGGGTGTAATAAAATACACCAGCGCCCTCTAGCGGAATACACACGGACTAAGGCACAAATAAAATAGAAA